GTGCAGAATTCTGCAACACTTGACGGTAAATCGTGCAGAATTTCTGTAACACTTGACGTTACACCGTGCAGAATTTCTGCAACACTTGACGCTAAATCGTGCAGAATTTCTGCAGCACTTGACAGTAAATCGTGCAGAATTTCTGTAACACTTGACGTTACACCGTGCAGAATTTCTGCAGCACTTGACGTTACATCGTGCAGAATTTCTGCAGCACTTGACGTTACATCGTGCAGAATTTCTGCAACACTTGACGTTACACCGTGCAGAATTTCTGCAGCACTTCACACTTCATCGTGCAGAATTTCTGCAGCACTTGACGTTACACCGTGCAGAATTTCTGCAACACTTGACGTTAAATCGTGCAGAATTTCTGCAGCACTTGACGGTAAATCGTGCAGAATTTCTGCAACACTTGACGTTACACCGTGCAGAATTTCTGTAACACTTGACGTTCCCTCGTGCAGAATTTCTGCAGCACTTGACGTTACATATTGCAGAATTTCTGCAACACTTGACGTTACATCGTGCAGAATTTCTGCAGCACTTGACGGTACACCGTGCAGAATTTCTGCAGCACTTGATGTTACACGGTGCAGAATTTCTGCAACACTTGACGTTACATCGTGCAGAATTTCTGCAGCGCTTGACGTTACATCGCGCAGAATTTCTGCTGCATTTGACGTTATCCAATGCGGAATTTTAAATAAAGCAGGTTGTCAGATTTTTTAAATATTATGTTAAAATCATAGACTTTATTGTTCATATATTAAACGTTCAGAGAATTTTGGGCACTTTCACCATGTTTAACAAACCATGCAGTGGAAATTGGAACATTTGTGTGGGTAAAATGCCTTGACATTTAACTGTCCGCGGAATTAAACAAAGTTTTGCCCTTTTGAAACGACTCTTTTCCTTCCTCCGTTAAATATAAGGAGGAATTTCCAAGAAATTCCTGTACAAGATAAACTATTACCAGATCCAATTTTTCTCTCATTCATCGAGTGGATAATCACAATTGAAATATATCCTACCGCCGGATAATGAAATACGTCACGGTAAGTTTTAATCACTGTAGAAACTGAGCATCTGCTTTCATGTGAAATTCGCGATAGGATAATATGTCAACAGTTTAATACAAACTTTTGTGTAGCTATGTAGATTATTTTCTCCCAGAAAGAACAGATAAAAGTTATTCTACTTATAGGGGAGGTTAGATCGCCATCGAAAAAGGAAATTATAAACTGCTTAAAATATTCTTTTAACTGAATGATTTATGTTACTATATTATTTCCATTCATATTCCCAGAATATGATATGTACCTATTTTTATTGTTTAACATCTTTCACATTTAGCCGTCCTTAGTGGTACAGCTGTGAATTTTGAGGAAATGTTTCAACTCTTTAAGTAGAACCCGGTGTCTATAATAATATTTTAATGTGCTCTTCTATGGGGGGAGGGATGTTTATTCCTGTAAAGGAATAAAGCGATTGTTATGTCAAGGGTACCCCCTGCTCATCATCGGTACAACAGCTACATGGAACAGCCATGAGGGCGCCAGTTTCCGTTGTTGTCGTAGAAATTGTGATGTAGAACGACATGGAACTCTCCCTTTTTAATTGCTGACAAACGACACCACTTTTTTTTCGAAATTGACGCATTCCACCAGCACGTCAAGGACGCTTTGGAAAATAACTGTATCTATGTATATGGTCAACCTGTATGTAACGGTTACTTTTGGGAAATGGCTAGGTGACCCTTACATAAGGGTGCCGCATACTGACAGACATTTAAAAATTATGTAAAGATAATTACTCTTTCGCATTTTGTTAACAATAACAATTAACAGCGACACAAGAAATAAGAGAAAGGGCCCGCCTGTGCCGGACTTTTATGGAGGTCGAGTTTATTTAAGTTTTTGCTGAGTTTCGTTATAGGAAAGCGTACAATGACACTCATACTTACCATTAAAGATTATTCATGACGAAAAAATATATGTTATGGGTTACTGAGATTTCAGAACGCGAAACTTGATCCCATGTAGGACGCCATTGAGTTTCTTCGCAATAAAATACAGTTCTAATGGTTCCTGCTTTAGTTATGAGAGGGGAACTTTTGTTTGAAAACGATTATGTCGCGAGCATATTTTGGTCACAAGCAATGACATGTAGCATTTATAGTTGTATTCAGTGAGACCCCTGCCCCAATAGCTACAATTTTAATAATAAGCCGTGACATAAAGTTTGTCATGATTTGCTAATGGTAATCCAGTTCGGTGACCGTTATGTACAGGTAAATAATGATGGTGACATTTTGGATTCGAGAATCTAAAGGGTGACCGCCTCTTCTATGTACAAGTGACCTCTGTACACAGGTCAGCTTCAAAGACTTGCGGTCCAGACCTCAACATATGGATTTGTTTATTTAGTTGAAAATAATAGATAACATCTCTGATTAAAAAATTATACAATTTTATTGATAATTAAAACAATTCAGTCTAAGACCTCATCGTTTTGCAGCGGTATCTTCAAGGCTTTTGTTCTCAGCTTACCTAAGTTTTAAAAAATTTATATGTCTTACCTAATCAAAACACTTTTTAGTAATGAAATGTTATTGATTTGACTATGAAAAAATTTGCATGTTACAGATTTATTAAATGTATTCATACCAGGGCCAATGAAACGCCATTACCTATTAGAAAGGAAACGAGAGCCTCAAGTGAGGCTACGAAACAAAAAAAAAAGTCTGTTTGTTGTAACATCCTGATGAAGTTTATCAAGTTTACAGAATTGTTATCACCCAAATTTGGGGCCTCAAAAAGGAAAGTGTATGACATTCTTTTAAAATTCAATCATCCAAAGGTAAATTTGAAGGTTTCGTACACGATGAAAGTTAGTTCCAATAACGAGGTATTCATGCTTCTGCAGAATTTTCGCTTTCCCGTTTCTTTTTGTCCAAGCACGAGGAACAAGAGCGAATGGGGAGGAAAATAAAAAGGCGATAGGAAGTTTTCATTCAAGCCTGCACATCACTTTTGCCCAGCCAACACTTCTCTTGTTTGGCTTAACTGAGGAAAAGGTTACTACGCAAGCTTCTTGTCAATTAAATCATTCCGTTTTCATAAATTGGTCCAGTGCTTCTCAACTTTTCCAATAAAAAATATTTCAAAACGTTTTATTCTATCTATCGATGTTATCGCAAAGGATGAGGAGTGGTAGTCGAACGAGGATGCGATTAACATGTCAAATCTAAGTTGAAAAACGGTTTGTTCATCTATTTATCGATGTTTTTTGAGCACAGTTCCTTAATGTAGGCCGGATAAAAAAGGTAGAAACTATAATTAAATTTTAAGTGTCCGTTGACACTGATACTTCAAACTTCAAACTAGCAAATTCATTCCTGAATACTACCGAATATCACGACTACATTTCTAGATAGTCAATAGCTTGACAGCGAACACAGCTTCTACCATGTCGTAAAACGCTTTTAAGTCGGAATAATCACAAAATTCCAAATTGTACACGCGGCGACTGGTTGCAACAGAAGCAATGTGTCCCAAATTTCCACTTTCATAACCTCCAACTCTTCGTTTTCGCCAGGTATACTTCAGGGCACTGGAGACAAACCTTCCTGGCTGCACCATGCGAAGTTCTGAAAAACGTTGAATTTCATGAGTTATAAGCAAGATTCTGTAATGCATGCGCATGCTGCAGGAATGAATAATCCTTAAGGATAGGGCCTGGAGTCTGGAGTTAGAATTACCTCGATCTCTTCTGTGGACCACCCCCTGCAGTTTTTCAAATTTCCCTAAGACAGCAATGGTATTCTTTGTGTCACGGGGTGCAGGGCGTCCGAATGAGGGCTAAGTGTGACAGTGAAGGTCGAGTATCTCGCTAAAAGCAAATATAACAACCTGACAGGTATCAGACCTCATCTTTAACTTGAAAGTATTGGGTAAACAAATAGAAGAGGATCAAGTTGAGGGACTTTAACTTCCACATGGGCGTTATTGCTATGGTATTCCCTCTCAAGTAATTCTTCAATCGTTTCCTTGCCAAATCAGTTAACCCAGCATGATCTCCACTGATAAATTCATTGAAACAAAATACGAAATAAATGCGACACTCTTCTTAAGAGACCCGATGTCCAGATCTTAGACATAACTTCGGAGAGGTAAGACCTGTATGAGGGATTCGGTTTCAGCGCTTGATCTTCTTTTGAAAAAGAAGCATGTTTCCTATCTTAGGGAATTCGTCCCAAGAAAAAATATTCACGAAGGACAAAAAGATTGATAAAGCTGTGTAGACTAAAAAGTATATTTACCTTTCAGATCAATGATCTTTTTAGTTTTTTCGTTTTGAATTCCTTCTTCTTCGCCAGGTTTTGATCTCAGCTCAAGTTTGTGGGCATCTTCATGGAAAAATAGCATTCCGTGATGCGGCATTTTGTTGCCTAGTATAACAGAAATTTGTTACCCATGAGATTCAAACAGGATACGTTTGTCTATGTCTAACATCTTGTTTTGAGGCAGATCTCTGACAGTTTATTTCGTGCATTGTAAAGAAAGAAACAATAAGCAAAGTATCAAGTTTATGCACCTGTCTTGTAAACCTTTTTTTATACAACACTTTGCGATTTCAAGAGGTTGGACTAAAAGCATAAAGATGACAATGGCCAGCCATGAAAATAAAAAATAGAAAATAACGCATGGGCCATTTTTAACACTGCGAAAACAATGTAAATGGCCTCAGGAGTGGGAGTTACAAAGCGAGTGACAAACTCATTCTCATTTAAACAATGACTTTTAGAGGAGCCATATAAGCAGCCAAAATCTAGAATACACCTTTAAAGAGGATATTAGACCATCAAACAACGAGCGGAGGACAGGCCCTTTTCAAATTACCTTTTTTTGAGTGAAGGAACACGCCTACACCGCCAGAAAGTTTCCCCACGGCACGTCTTTGGTTGAACGTTCTGGGAGGTGTGGGGAATTCTGGAAACAACATGCGGTAGGTGAAGCCCAGGGCTGTTGCAAGGATACCACCAGTTACTTGTGCTTGAGGTAACTCACTTAAGGAGTAATGGTCACCAGGGCACACGAGTACTGTGGTACCTTCATCTACCAACTGACTCCATTCTTCCCCGATGCCCCGTGATGTGGGATTACGGGGGAAAAATCTGCTGTTCTGACATCTGAGGAATGTGAGAGGACCTCGATAGCGAACCTATTAAACATAAAGCATGAAAAAGTTTACTTAAGTTATTTACTAATACTTAGTATGTTTCCAATAAATTGATGTCTCATGGCTTGATATTCTTCTTGTTGACCAAAGGGCATTTGGACAACTTGCCCCTTAAAACACAATTGTATGGATATCGGCATTCAGTAAGGGTGCCTCTTACCTCAGCAGGCTGCCATTGTTGATGCGTCCTATTGGCAAAGGTTTGATTCCTCAGAAGAGCTTCTCTTAGGGTCCTTAAATTGTAGGTGGTAAGACCTTTCGTAAGGCTTCTTTTCTGCAACTCATCAATGATCCAGTCTTGAGTGTGTGTATCTCTAATTTGTTTATATTCGTCAACATTCATCTTTAGGGAGTCTACTGCAAGCTTTTCCAAGTAGCTTTCGAATTGGAACTGAATAGAGAGATTGACAGCATCTGTTAATTTTTCTTGGGCACTAATATATTAGAATAGGAACAGATAAAGCCTCCTAAAAGTGGTACACCGATTGGAACGGGTGGTAAACAAGTACGTCTGGATATTTCTCTAAACACCATGGAGAAAATTTCTATGTTCTACCTTACTTTTTGGGTTCGTCAAATAATGTTTTATTGTTCTCTACGAATTTGAAATCCACCCGTATAAATCATGATTCCTTGAAAAAGCATTCCTTACGCAGAGTTCACGAACAAAGAAATCGGAAGAGTCACACTAAACATAAAATCACCAGATGAGGCATGGGTAATACAATATGTCCACAAATCCTCAATTAAGGACAAAAATCCTAAAATTTATTCATTTCCCTTATGAAGATGTCTATGAGTGAGGTATTTCTAGTTTCAATGAAGACAATTTAAATCAATATAAAAGATTTACACAACTTTGAAATGTTTAACAAACCTGAACATGTCGCGATGGCAACCATCCGTCTTCCTTCGCGGAAAATAACCGAGTGGTTATGGTCCGTGAACGCAGTGACCAAGGGAATGTGTCAATCATTACAAGGAACTCCACCCTATGATTCTGTTCTGTTAACAGGGAAGCCATTTCGTACGCTACAAGTCCTCCATATGAATATCCCCCGAGAAAGTACGGTCCATGGCGCTGTTCGTTGGTGATCAGCTGAACGTAATGAGCGGCAAGCTCACGCACTCCACCCCAGTCCTCACTGATGACCGTAGGATCAGTAAAGCCCAGAGCATAAAAGGATACTAAGTCCTAGTAAAGACGAATAAAAGATGCGAGCCACACGATGAAAGTGTTTGAAACCTCTGACGTGTACTTTTATAAAGGGCAAGAGAAAGTGCAAATCAACGAAGTTTAAAGAATATGAGTTGATCCGGAGGAGAAGAAATCATTATCATCTCCAGAATATGTAACCCCTGTAAACTGCGTCAAATAATTGTCTAGCCCCTTTCGCTACCGGGTCAAGCGAGGAAAACTAAAGAGTCAGATACTTAAAACTTCACGATCTTCTAAGATCTGGGTTGGGAAGCGACCTCGGCCTTATGGTCACCACAGGATTCACATTACCTTGAAACTATAACAACGACAGCAAAATATTTCTTTGGCTGTACAACTAAATGTAAAGTGATTGATAAAAAAAAGATGTTGAAATGATGTTTATGTCATTGGCTGAGGGGCTAAATCAATTCTATAACGGTCAGATACGCACCTGTCCTTGAAATCCGGTAGAAATGGGAACCAAATTCAACGCGTAGCGATGTGAAGGGTGAACACAGAAGAACTTTATTGCTGATCCCTCAGGAGTGTAAAGAGGTAAGACTTGAACCTCCTTCTTGGACGGCATGTCTGAAGTATTTGTTTCCTCCGATGACTGAGTTTGTCCGGGTGCACTTTCTTGGCTCTCGCTATTCTGCGGGCTGCTTGCTTTTCCACGAAGCCTGGCACTGATGTCCCTGGCCATTTTTAGTGTAGTAGTATCAGGCTGCATGAAGTAGTAAACCTAAAGACAAGAGTTTCAAACGTTTAACATGCATCGACGTTTCGATTGAACATAATTCACTACCGTACGTTTAAATTTGATTAAATATTCACTATTTCCAGGTACGAAGAATGATTATAGAAACTTTTAATTCCATTAAACCATCCACACACATGAGGGCATGATCCTTATATGGGTATATAGGGGTGTAATTAGTAGTATCGATGGTTCAAGAGAATCGTCTCTCATTTGAATCGAAATGAATTGTTCTTAATTGGAGTATTTCCTACAACAATGCTGCTATGCAAACTAAAAGACATTTTGGTTACAAGATACGTATAAGGATATTCCAACGGGACTTTCTTAAATGCACCAGCTGGGAAAATTACAAATTCATTGTTTTTCAGTTATCTAATGACATACACACCTCAAAAAGAGACCCGCAAGTTTGACTCAAGCAGCATCTTCAGAGTCAAAGCTGCAGTGGAGTCAATACCATAGCTATACAAGCTTTTGTTTAGATCCGTCTCTGAAAGCGATGAACTACCTGTCAATTCCGCAACCGAGATGCGAACATACTCAACGATAAGTTCGCCTTTCTTATCTGGGTCCTTCTCTAACCGAATTCTTTGCAGTAAAGACTCTGCTGTGTTAGTTTGGCTCTCAGAAACACTGATTTCTGAGGTGAACATTGAGAGTCGGGGCGTATTTTGTAGTCCGGTATTACTGTTAATATACCGAGGCCAGTCCACACCAAATAAAGAGATTTGGAAACGGCTCGGCTCCTCGGTCAAAACCTTGGCCATCAGATTGACTCCTGAAAAGTAATCGAAAATCTTCCATGGAAACTACTGATGAACAATTTTTCTCTTAAGGTACAAAAAGCAGTCACCTTTCATACAGGGGAAATAGGTAAGACTGGGTACTTTGAGAAAAATTCCAGTACGTGGCTTACGTTTTGATAAGTAGAGAATGTCGTCTACTGGCTGAAAACCGTCAGCTGCCGATCTTAAACTAATGTTACCCGGAGTGAACCGCTTCTTCATCTACACTTGTAAAACGCTCATTTCTCTTCCTCGGCTTACCTTGTAGCATCAAGAGCAGTGGACGCAACTATTCTCTTACAAACTATATGAAAAGCCATGTTTATTTTCATCTGCTTTCACTATTCTCAACGATATAATTTTTTTGTCTTTGAAATCCACTAATTATTACCCATGAGAATAATCAAATTCATATACAAAACCACCATTAGCGTGTTACAAAAATCATATTTACCATCTCCGGCGTTTATGAAGCCCAGTCCTCCAACTGCCATCAATTTTGCAATATTACTCTGCCGTTGCATCACACCAGCTCCACTGATTGGTCCCCAGTTTATCGAAAGTCCTGGCAAACCGAGTACCTGTCTTCGATACTGGGCAAGAGAATCTTGGAAAGCATTACAGCCTGAGTATGACGAAGATGCCACGATTCCAACAACAGATGCCATAGATGAGAACATAACAAAGAAATCTAGATCCATCTCCAAACTCATTTGGTGTAGTAAAAAGGAACCTAGAAGAAATATCACACTTACAATCTCCATTTCATTCATAAAATCAAGATATGTTATGTAATACGTTATCCAGATAACAATATATACACAATCCAATTTAAAGAAATGAAAATAAGTAATTGATAGTGCTCAAGTGTCTTTGAATGTTCAGGTACACTTAGTTTTCGTAGTTAATTTGGGCTACTTTCACCTATGGTAAACAGATATGATCGTGTGTGTTTAGGTGCACTCGAACTTTCATCGCACTTTTATCATATATTAATACAAGATGAAATGGAAAACAAACACAGACTAGAAGTTGAATGATTATTATTTGATATTTATAAGTGTTGAAAGGTATAACTCAATTTGTTTGGGTCAATCAAATATACAAAGGATGTTAAAGGAAATATTAAAGTATGCGATATGAAGTAGTGCCGATAGTCACCTTTGATCTTAGGACCCATAACTTCTGCGAAACTTTCAAATTTCCAATCTTTGATGTATTCGTCTCGGAGAACCATAGCAGAATGTACTATCCCAGCTACACTTGGAAGAGACTGGAGCTGCTTTTGTAAGGAAAACATTTGCTCTTGGCTGGAGATATCAATCTATAAAAACAGAATAGAAAACAGTCTTTAAAATTCTTGGCGTGCGTTGTGCTTCAGGTAAAGTTACTTTCCAAGTATTGTACAAATGCAACTTAGCATTTCTAGTTGCGAAAATGAAGTAGTAACCGTTTGACTATTGACTGCCATAAAGGTAACGCACCAAATTACCTGGAACGTATAGAACTTTGCACCTGTCTTCGTCTCTAAATCTCGTACTTTTTGATACTCGGTATCTGAGAGCTTGGAACGACCAATCAGTCCTATAGACTTTGCTCCATTCTCGGCCATCCAACGCGCCACCTCAAATCCGAATCCTCTGGTCCCCCCAGCCACCAAGTACGTTCTGTTTTCTTTGAGACCACACACATCCAGACCTCGTGGAAGCACGGGGATCGTTAGAAGATCATTGCCTCCTTCAGATGGTGCAAAAGAGTGAACCAGAAAAGAAATGCCTCGAAATTCTCTCAGGACCCTTTTCGGAGGTGAGTCTTTCAGAGTGGCTTTGTTTGCAGCTTCAATTGCCGTGGGTATGTCTGTCGATAGTAACTTGAGTTCCAGAAGCTTTTGCAGAACTCCACTACCTTTCAGCAGCTCTAGACTCTCTAAGCTGAGCTTTTGATAAGTCTGCGGTGATCGGATGATATCTGAAATGCTTTCTCTTACATACATGACGTTTTTCTTTGCAGGGAACACGACGGCACCATCAAATTCGGCTCCCAAGATAACGACTTTTCCTCCACGTTTAAGACGTCGACTGCTTTTTTGGAGAGCGTTCGGAGAGGGTGGGTAGAAAAACAAAACTGCATCAAAAGCGTCGATGGAATCATTTTCAAAACTTGTGAGACTCTGATGTGCTACACTCTTTGCTCCCAGCTCTAGAAGGGTGGATTCTGTCACCGATTGGCAAGTATCTGAGATAGTGCAAAATACTTCATGACCCAATGCTTTTGCAAGGGCAACTGCCACAGGCCCAGGGCCACGGTGAGCCTGATGAATCAGTAACTTCTTCTTTTCTTCCATCGTTCCTATCCGTTGTAGGGCGTGAAAGGCTATGGCAAGGCAGGCAGGGATGTATGTTGCTTGTTCTTGCGTCAAAATAGCTGGCTTTGCAAAAATGTTCCTGACTTGCATGGGAACGGAACGAGAAACTCGTCCAGACGCCATAACGCCGCACACAACGTCTCCAATTTGTATCTGATTACTTGCAGCTTCCCTTTGTAGATGAATCACCTTTCCCACGGTGAAAACACAAGCATCTGGTCTGGCTACATCAAGTATTGACTCAGAGGGTGTCCAGCAATAAAGCAGTTCTACTGTGACCTCGGAGGGCGATGGCCGCGAAAAACTCCTCTGGCGAAAGCAGACCTTCCGTGAAGCAGGAATGGATGACAAGTATAAAGAACCCCAGTCGCTAACATTACTGTGTATTGTGGGCTGCTCGGTGCAAATATTTGATCTCACAACTCGATTTATGAGCCGCTTTCTATCTCGAAAGGCAATCTCTTCTTCCATACTATCGCCAAGGATTTCAGAAAGAAGCAAATCTATCTCATCATTATCATTTTTGTCGCCAAGATCAATCGTGGTAATCCTAAGATCAGACTCTTCGAGCTTTGCTGTTCTGCGAAGACCCCAGATTGTAGAAGCCCAAGGCATGGAGTCGTTGTGAGATTTCGTTGTGGCACTTAGGAGCTGTGTACTTTCAGACACGAGCAGAAGCCGAGAATCGAGAAAATGGTTTCTTGTAAGCTGTTGAATTAAGAAAACTGAGCTGCTGAAGGCGAGGTTTTGTGCTTTTTCGATAACATCGAAATTGTTTGGTAGGAGAGTGGTTTCTACTGGCCACAAGTTGACGACTTTGAGCATGGATGAAGGGATCGAATGTAGGGCAGTAAGCTCTCTGCTGATTGTTTCTTTTGTTTCTGTATCAAAAAATAGAGCATCGGGTGGATCAACTGGGATTACATTGACTCTTGCAGCGTGAAGTTTGCCGATTAGGATGTCTGAGAAAGGGGAGCTGTCCCTGAGAAGAAGACAGGTCAAGTTTGGCGCCATTGCTCTTTGTCCTTGTAAATTCTCTTCCATCCACTTCATTTCATAAACAAGGCCATCAGAAGTAAATCGGCGTGGTGTGCTGTTCAATTCTGCGATACGGAACTCTCTCATAGTTAGTAAAACCCTTCCAGATGGACTCATAAGCGTGATGTCGAATTTCCCGAACTCTTTGGCATCCTCAACGACGTGACAATAGAGTTGATTGGTATTTGGAACATGATACAGCGTGATGCCCTTAAATCCCACCGGTAAAACAGATTTTTCATCAGTAGCTGAGATTCCAAGTGGGATAAAGCAAGACTGCAGACACGCGTCCAAAATGGAGGGGTGGACAACATAATTTTTACTTTCTGATTGAACGATGGCTGATTCGTGGATATCGATCAGACAAAGTCCCTCGTGCTCGCGGTGCCATGTCTGTTTGATGATGGAGTAGGCACCACCATACTGAAAGCCATACTTTTGAGTTAATTCTCTGAATCCTTCAATCGGCACCTCTTTCATATTTCTGATTAGCTCGTTGACGGCTGGGCCAACTTGATTGCAAGCTGTAAAAGGCCAAAACGGGGAAATGTCTCCTTTTAATTTCTATGTGATAGTTATAGTCTCTTGCAATCATGACTATAAATGGGTGGATAAATAAATAGGCTATAAATGGAGAATGGCAAATGCATTTGAATATTATAATACCTTCTTCCTCGCTGTTTGTTTTTGTGTCCAAGAAATCGACCGAGATGTTTCCACTACTCAAAATAATTTCAGACTGGTCGTCCTGCACGCTTGTAATGTGAAACTGAGCCTTGTCTATTTTGTCGGTCTTTAAAAGGCGAAGTCGTAAGGATCTAACCTAAAGAACAAAGGATAAAAAGTTGCGATAACCTCAACCTAGCTGATATGGCTTGTCTCTAATTTATGTGTATACTACGCTTACCTGTGTTTCAGGAAGAGTGAGAAGACTTGAAAGTTTCACATCACCAAGTTCCAGGCCAGAAGTATGTACGAATTCGTCCTTTACCATTGCAAAGGCCATCTCCAGGTAAGCAGCCCCGGGCATCACGGCACCTCCTTCAATAAGGGCGTGGTCCTTTAGAGATGGAAAATTGAAAAGGTCAATCTCAGTCTCCCAGCAGTGCAGGCCTGAGTATAAGTCGGTCATTTTGACTTGTGCCAGATAAGGATGTGTTGGCTTCCATAAGGTTTCCTTAGAGCTAATTGGGTGGACTGTTGATTGCGGTGGTTGTTCCCTGTACCAAAAACTGTTTTCCAGCCATGGAGATGTTGGGGACCGGATAAACCTGGCTGATTGGCTCCCCTGTACCAAGGTCCAGTCTACGGAAATCCCATGGTATACAATCTGCATATTGTGTTCTGAAGAAAGCATTTGTGTTGCTCCTTGATGGGCACTCTCTTACGTGGAAGAGTTGCGACAACAACGGGCCTTTCCTGTTCCGTCAAATTCTCCTGAAGAGCTATCTGTTTTACGTAGTGGGCAAGAATTGGCTGCGTGCTGATCTCAATTATCTGCTTGTAACCATCTCTCAGTAGATGTTTCATTGCCGAGTAGAAGCGAACAGGACAGCGTATATTTCGCCACCAATAATCGCTGTTTAACTGCTGACCCGAGACAACTTCGCCCTCAACGGTAGAGTACATTGGAATCTTCGATAGTTGAGGGTTTAGCTGTACACTTTTCATAGCTGCCTGAAATGGTTTCTTGATGGGTTCCATGTGTGAGCTGTGAAATGCACGATTTGTTCCAAGAACACGCCAGAAAACATCTCTTGCGTTCATCGAAAGATGTTGTCCCAATGCCTCGATGGACTGCGACTCACCAGCTACAGTGACGCTTTTTGCATCATTAACTGCCGCTATGTCGAGGGTGGCGCTTAACCTTAGATTGAAAAGCATTTCCCTGGCCTTTATCTCAGGCATGCCCAGGGCAGCCATACTTCCATTGCTTGGGCATTTGTCTTGAAGAGTGGAGCGAGTTAGTACCAGCTGAAGTGCTTCCTTGACTGTGATGATTCCAGCAACACAGGCAGCTGCGAACTCTCCTAAACTGTGACCAATAACAGCAGACGGATGGACTTTCCAGGACTTAAGCAGCTGTGCGGTTGCGTACTGTACAGCGAACGTGGCTGGCTGGGCGATGTAGTTTTCCGATATTCGCGAAATGTCTTCTGGTGCCATCAATTCGTCTTCAAGTGACCACGTCTGTCCCATATCTCTCAGTAAGTTGCTAACAGTCAAAATTGCCTCTCTGAAAGCGGTTTCGCATTCCATTAACTGCCTTCCCATGGCATACCATTGTGATCCCTGACCCCCAAACATGAAAACCAGTTTCCTATCACTTGAGGTCACCTCAGCATAAGAAGCGGTCTTTTCCCAACCAGCGGAGTCATCAGCAAAAGCTTCTAGTGACTTCGATGCTTCGAAAGAAGGCCCAAAGGCAACTGCCAGGCGATGCGGATACTGGCTTCGACGTTCGTTCAACGAGAAACATAAGTTTTCCACAAAGTGTTCATTCATTTCTTCAGCGTTGTCTTTAATCCACCTGGAGTAAAGGCGTGACAGCTTTTTAAGAGCTTCTAGAGAACGTGCTGTGATAGTAAGAACGTTATTCTTGCGTTTGAAGTTTTCCACTTGGAAGCTTGGTGTTGCTGTAGCTTCGCGAAGAATTACATGCACATTTGACCCACCAAAACCGAACGAATTAACGGCTGCTATTCGCGGTTTTCCCTTTTCTGTTTTCCAAGACTCACGAGTTTGTTGTAGAATAATCCCTTTTTCTTCAAGCTTTAGTTTGGGATTCAACACCTTGACGTTGATGGTGGGTACAAAGGTCTTGTTTTTTATCATCAGGGCGGCCTTAATAAGTCCAGCAAGACCAGAAGTAGATTCCGTATGATTGAGATTAGATTTGACAGAGCCAATTCTCAATTTTCGTGAAGAATTTGCGGCCAGGTTGGAGTAGGTATCTGCTATGGAGTTGACTTCCACTACATCACCAATCGCGGTACCAGTCCCATGTGCTTCGAAGTAATCCACGTCTCCTGCGGCCACTCCTGACTGCTCTAGCACGCTTCTTGATAACTGAGCTTGCATCTTGGCACTTGGAGCGGTGATCGGGACAGCATTTTGACCGTCGCTGTTCATTCCACATGCAAGGATCTCGCAATATACATCGTCTTTGTCACAAAGAGCATCCTTTGACAGTTTGAGTACAACCGCTGCAAAGCCCTCTCCGCGTCCATAACCGTCCCCAGAAGCATCAAAACTCTTGCAACGGCCATCCGGGGCAAGAAGTCCAGCCATACTGGATATTATCTGCATGGAATGGTTAAGGACGACATTGGGTGCGCAAACGATAGCTATATCGCAATCATCGTTATGCAGGCTATCATAAGCTAGTTTAAGAGCAGTCAGCGATGAGGAACATGCTGTATCCACGGCAATACTTGGTCCGGTCAGATTAAGGCAAAATGACACTCTGTTGGCAAGAATAGATGCTGTTATCCCTGTTGAGGTATACTGATCGATGTAGGAGTAATTTGAGCGGTCTGCCAAAAGAGAACCGTATTCGATATTCATCACGCCAACAAAAACACCTGTTCTACACTTTTGTAAGTCTTCAAGCCGCATTCCTGCATCTTCTATTGCCTCGTAGGCTACTTGAAGGAGTATTCTTTGCTGAGGGTCCATTGCACGTGCCTCTTGATTGGAGATACCGAAGAACCTGTTGTCGAAAGTCTTAATTTCTTCCAAGTAGGAACCATTGATGGCACAAAGGCGTCCATTTACGAAACGCTTGGGGTTGTAGAACTCAACAAACGCTTTATGCTGCTGTGTTCTGTTCTCGGGAAACGCACGAATGGAGCTCTTTCCTTGTTCAAGCAAGGCCCAAAAGAGGTTCTTACTGTGAGCACCGGGGAATCTACAACTAATGCCTATGATGGAGATCCCGGAACGTTTAGCCTTGAGCTTTCTTATGTCGCCATTCCGTGCTTCCATTGATATTGAGTCATTTGCTACCATGAAGTGTTTTATTTCCTCTTGGCTAATCTTGGAGCTAAAATTGTGCACTAACTCCTCAAACAATGCAAGGACCGTCGGGAAAACAAGAAGAGCATGGATGGACCCCAAAGCGAACACCGAGGAAAGTAGTAGATGGAAAATATCTGCTAGACTGGGAAAAATGAATCCCAAGCAAACAGAAGCTGATAGGGATATCAAAGCGCCTCCCAGCACGGATACTCCAACGGAGCGAAGAGCATCAATCATGCGACCTTGTATGTCTCGCTTGGCCGAGAGGACGAACGAATGGCACACTTCAATACTAAAATTCAAGGACAGCATGATCGCCACAAAAAGAGAAATGAAAACCACATGATCCAGGTAGATTCCAAATGTTTTCATAATAGCTGCTGCTTCCAGTATTAGAAGGTTGAACGTTATAGCCAGGAGTGTACTAGCCCCGACATGACACATTGCAAACAAAGAAACAGCAAACACCACCACTGTGCCAGCTGTGAGAGCTATGGAGATGGTTTCTTTTTCTAACTCGACGAGGTCATCTATCTTGAAAAATTCTTTGGAGATTGGGACGCCTTTCAAGGAGGACTGTTCATGTAAATCACTTCTCAGTGTCCTAAGGGCTTCTCTATCTTCTCGCAATCGGTTGTTCAGTGTCATCCTCAGATGAACTCGTGACGCCGATATTTTAACAAGAGATGTAGAATCTTCTAAAAGCAGATCTTGTCTAAACAGCAAACTCTGGGAATTTTTCAGGAAAAGTTCCAAGCACCGGTGAAACTCTGAATGTGAACAGCTCATGTTTTGATGTTTGACCCACTGTAGAAAGCCTGCCATCCAACAAAGGGACTTTCCTTTACTGTAAGCGGCCTCTTCCAGTTTTTTACACGCTGACATTACTTGATTTTGTACACTTTTTAGTGAATAGTCGACTTCCTTGGAGAAAACGATGCTCACATCAGTTTCGTTGCTTAGGAACATTTGTCGTGCCTTATTAAACTGCTTGAAGTTTTCACTCCGATAGCGCAACTGTGTGGTACGCGTTCTGTCTCCAGTTTGAAAAGCGGAGAAAACAACTAAAGTGATGAGAAGGGCAAAGATTCCGAGGGAGAAAATTTTGCCGCCGGTGGATGTTATTTTTCGAGCCCATTCTTTCAGAATGCGTTGCAGTCTTGTCTTGTGGCACTGTGAGAGTCTAAGCTCAGCGCTTCCAAATTCAGAGATGGACAATCTTCTTTCACATGTAGTCGCACAGGGTGTGTTCACTTTCTTAAGCTTTCTTTCAAAATACATCAACACAATGATTGTGATCACAATAGAAGCAGAAAATGTTACATAAGCAACAAGTATTGCAAAGGAAAAATTGGAAATGGCATTAAAAGAGGATTTGATTCCCACTCCATAAAGAGCTGACCCACAAAGCGCAGTCATCATAGCAAGAACCCTGTTCTAGCCAGGCAATTTCCCACGCGATGTTCAAGTGATGGTTTTTTTTTTTTGCCTTTCCCATTCCATGAGGTAAAGTACCACGTCTGTAGTTGCTTTCCCCAATAGTAAGAAGGGTATAAAGAGGCACGTTGAGGAAAAGGCAGAGTTTGTTATGGAGACAACACCTGCAGAGCAGGTTAAAGGAAAAGCAAGAGAAGAGAACATCAAGAGGACTGTCCTTAAACAACCGGCATTGGTAGAAGTAAAGGGTATGACAGTGAAGACAAGGACAGCAATCGCTACGACTGAAAAACAAAGAGGCCATAGCTCTGGTTTCAGTATATCTTGCAAGGCATCAGTCGCTGTTCTCTCAGTCTGGTAGGAGAGTTTTGCACATTTCATGCGAGGACCCATTGAATCAAGGAGACTGCTAAAGGAGGCTTCAAACCTTTCTATGTCTTGGTAGTCTTCTGTGCTGGTTGTCTTTCTTACGAAGTAAATAGTTCGAAGAGCGTCGGCACGGGCAGTCAATTGATCTTTGTTCCGTTCTATGTGGAAATTGGCCAGCAATTGCTGATAGGAAGAATTAAATGTTTTTCCAGAGGAAAGAACACTAGTAGGCTTTACCAACTCGCGAGCCAGGATCGAGGAAAGATTTTCTAATTTTTGAAAATGCGTTCCAGCTAACTCAAGAGGATTGCTGATCTTGCAGCTTTTCTCTGTGCTTCTTTGTTGGGCAATTGGCGATTGCTGCCTGAAACATATATTGACGTAACCGCTGATATTTACTATGGCTCTGTGAACCATAATGGCGTCTTTTAAACATTCTTCACTTAGAATGCTGTCCCCATTCTTGGGTATCATAATTACTTGTTCTTGTCGTGCCTCAAGAATCGGAAAGAATTGTGCGGAATCATGCGA